ACTCGAGTTGATGTCGAGGAAACGACGTCGATGGCGGTGGTTCCCCTCAGAAGACAAAGTAATTGCAGGTAACCAAATACTGCAGAGAGGGGAGATCAGGATGTAATAAGCGATAACTATTGCAAATATTATGACTGGTAACTGATTACATTTATTTATTATATTGTAAGTGTTGTTAAAATTACTAAACTATTAAGAGGCTCTAATTCCTTGACGTACTGCCCATTTAAAACGTATCATACAATATTAATCTATTGTTTCAAAATATCTAAAACAAAATATTATATCTGTCTTGTGTACAAAAGCAAAATGTGTAACAATTGTATGTGTCCCTAAATATAAGTTATAATAGGCTACAATAGGTCCGTTACCCCAGTACCACCAAACTAAAAATCAAAGTCAAAATGTATCCTATCAATTGTTATTTCATTTGTACACAATTGTAATCATAATTAAAACATTTGTACACCTCCCCAAACTCTAGCGTTACCCCAGTACCGCCACGGAAAAATTGATTTTCCAGAGTTTGAGGAGGTGTACAAATTTTTTAATTATGATTACAAATGTGTACAAATGAAATAACAATCGTTGATACTAGTTTGGAATCGGTGGGACCAATACAAGTCCATGGCGGTACTGGCGTAACGTTACCCCAGTACCACCAAAGGAAAATTGATTTTCTGGAGTTTGGAGAGGTATACAAATGTTTAAGTTATGATTACAAATGTGTACAAATGAAATAACAATCGTTGATACTAGTTTGGAGTCGGTGGGACCAATACAAGTCCATGGCGGTACTGGCGTAACGTTACCCCAGTACCGCCAAAGGAAAATTGATTTTCTGGAGTTTGGAGAGATATACAAATGTTTTAATTATGATTACAAATGTGTACAAATTAAATAACAATTGATAGGATACATTTTGACTTTGATTTTTAGTTTGGTAGTACTGGGATAACGGACCTGGCTACAATAATAAAAAAAAGACTGATGTGAATATTAAGTAAGGTAAGTAGAGGCTTTGTACTTTTGTAGAATACTATTATTTAATGAAATGCAATTCGAATTCTATAATTTTATTTTATATTTATAATTATTATGGATGGGCTCAGCGAGTTAAAGGAATAATACAATTTACTTATAATATAATATTAAAGAAAAAAAATACTTTAATTATCGAAATAGCACGTATTTCAGAAAATGGATTTGTATAATACCTCAACAGCAGGGGATGGTATATTTTAAAAGGACGTGAATCCAATAGTATAAAATCTTTGAGCGATAAATTCGGAATACGAAGGCAGTTTATTTTATCTTTATAATATGAACAAAAAAAAAAGCCAGGGAGAGTGTCTGCAGTAGATATATTATACACATATATATACAAGATTTCGTGGTATTTTAAGAGGGGACTGGAAAAAAACCGCTGACGGCGTACAACGAGTAGGTACCTACAGCGGCTCGTTACGTGTTAGGGGAGCGTCTGCTGTACATAATAATAAAAATAATAATAATAATAATATGGAATACCGATACCGTTCCCTCATCGTTCCAACTTCCAATTATTTACACCGGAGAAGAGTTACGGGAAATCTTCTATTTTACACATGAAACATATCCAGCGACCACAGACGTCTTTGCAACCATGATTTGCCCCAGACATTAAGTTTTCTAAATTTTTGTTTTTCCATAGAATTAGTATTAATTTTAGAGTACATTAAATGCATTATGTACATTATAGTGTGTTATAGACACGACTATATTACTTATACGAATCATATTGTCTCTGAAACTAGCTGTCACATTGTCCAATTTCTTTGTACCTACCGAATGATATTTTTTTAATAAATTAAAACATAATATTATACACAAACTGACAAACATGCAAATGGCAATTTATAGTTTACAATAATATAATTTTCAAAATTGTATGAATGACAATGAATGATGTTTTTAACTTAATTTATCAAGCTATTCTTAAAATCTATTTACAAAGATACCATTTTATAAACTATTTGCTATTCATTCAATCAATAATGTTAAAAAGTGTATTGTTTTTCATCTACCATGCATACTCATTAAAGTAAGATATATTTTAGTTTAATTTATGATCAAAAAACCACGTGTCCGCGGAAACAAGGAACACTTTATTACTGATTACCCTGTGAATATCTTTGAATTCTGTTTTCAGGACATTAAACTAGACTAATAGTTCATACATTTCTATGACTTAAAATTTTTTTAACCCATGTATCTAGCGCATGCGCAACACAACTTCATTTTTTTTAAATGGCAACCTATGTTTTAAATATCATTTTCAGGTTGATCGATTTTTTTCAAAACATTTTGATGCATAAACTTGTGTTGTAAACTCAAAATTGGCTGAAGTAGAGCTATAAGTAAAATTAAATAAACAAAATTAATTAATTTACTAAATTTGATTTTTTAAATTTCAATGCCACTTATTTTTTTCTTCTAAATAACTTGTTATTATTAAAGTAATAAATTAATTATTTTTAATGAATTGTTATTTTATTTTGTTATTACACATAATGAAATTATATAATTTATTATCAAAGCATGTATTAAAAAACAAAAGTCTAAATTTCTAAATTATTTAAGTTATTCAAAAATAAATGCATATTTTGTAGCATATTAGAGCATTTTTAGAAGCATATTTTGAGGATTTTTCTTGCATATAAATTCAGTCCCTAATTATAACCAATGAAAGAATTTTATAGTGACAAAAACGAATAAACCACATCTAAAATGTTCATTGATTTGATTCCCTGCCCCAAATACATTTTGCACCCCCTTGGTACTTACTTAGAGAAGCTCAACCACTGTACACTATTATGGCACACAACATTTCCTTTTTTCTCGTTGGTTAGTGGTAATTTGAATAGAACTCGTTATGCCAACAATCTACTTGAACAACAAGTAAATACAAATGAACTAAATATGTTTTCTTCATATGACGTTTTGTAATTTAAATTTCAAATTTTTGAGATTTCAAGTTATACTAATACAACCATTTTTCATAACTGATGGAAGGTCAGAGAACACGATTTGGCTACCATGTTCTCCGGGTCTCATTAGGCCGAAGAAATTGTTTTTTTTAAATATTTCAAAAATTTTGTTCATTTATTTGACTATATTATTATACATACTTCAACTCACATGTGCAGTTTTCATAAACACTCGAAACTTCTAAAGTCAAAATAAATTATTCTTTAAATTTAGATATCCGTACCAACCTTTGAAAAATGTATTCACATATTTTCATTAGGCTAAAAACGATCAAGTTCATGATTAATATATATTAATATATTGGTCAATTTATTGCTTAGTAAATTTAAATTGTTCGGATTTCTGATGATATTTATTCTAATGAATATTATGCAAATAACTTTTGGATGGAATTGAAAATTTGTTTAAAAAATCACGAAAATGTTGACATTTCTAAACTTTATAACGTTATGATTGAATAAATCCATATGTGCCTAAAAATTGTATGATATTTTTTATATATTATTTTATTAACGCCAACAGGCTGTCAATGGGTAATTATGTGATTCTCTGAATTTTGAAATAAGTTTATTTTTGTATTATCTACAAATCGAATTTCTAGTTTAAAAAAAATCAAGTTTCGTGCATATAATACACATTTATGTTTTTTGTTACAAAAAATATAAGAATTTGAACTTTTTATACAAAATCACTATGCATAAAAATAATGAAACCATAGAAGAATTTTATTAACATAATCGAAAATATTTATTTTTTGTTTTATCTTTTGCAACGAAAATATGACTACCGGTTTAAATGTATTTTAAATATTTATGTAATTAAATAAAATGCTTGGTAATTGGTTCCTGTATAAATATTCTGAGTTTAATTAAATATTGTTTAAACTTTGTGGTAAAGTTATATTGCGTATATTGTATGTAAGGTCAATAAATTATTGTTTCAAACATTTATAAAATAAAATTATACTCTAATAGGTATATTTATAAACAACATGAAACAATAATAGAATATACCATTAACATTTTTACAATTACACTTTAAATATTTTTTCTGGAAAATATCAGTTTTTAGAGAAGGCAAAATTGTTTTGAGATATTATAACGGATAGCCCTCTTATTTGATATAGATTGAAAAGATAATTCGAAATTGATAGGTACACACTTATTTTAAACAGATTATCTTTACATGCGTTTCCAGTGAATTTGGATCAATAACATGTCGAAAATACCACTCATGGTAAATAGATGACACATTGAAATTTTCTTTCAAAATATTATACGTACCACGTTTTTCATAATGTTAAACATAAATACCGTAGTAAACACCCAGATACACAATGCAAGTAACAGCCGATATTGTATTTCTGGCTTTCTACAACAACAGTTAATCTTAAACGTTTAATAATAATATTATATTATTATAGTCGAGTTGTCAGAGTGGAAAATTAAAGCTCCCGCCGAAAAATATGTACAATCCGGAGTGGTAGATTGTCGAAAACAATTCTGAAACGTTAAATCACCGAGATGAATCCAACCTCCAACCGTGGCCAATTAAGGCCCCTGCAAATGTGTCATTTTTAAGGAGTTGTGTTTAGGCAATTATTTCGTTCCTTCGATCACTGATCGTCTTTGTGTGTGTAGTAAATGATAATTAGTGTGCGTATACTCCCCTACCATCACCCGCGACCCGCATCAATTTACAATTCATTGTTATTTCTTATCTGGTTTATGGACGGTCGCGGCCTCGCGGGTCGGACATAATAAGTAATAACAGTAGGTACGTAAATATTATGAAAATAAATAATATACGTTAAATTTGAGATATTGTGTATATTATATTATATTAGTACTTTACACAATTTATATTACCCATATCCATATGGCCATATTTAGTAATAACTAATAATGGTACCTAACTAGTATAATATTATATAATTAATAATACTAACAAAAAAACATAGACGGATAAGGTAGGTACTTAAATTGTTTCATTTTATTTGAAAATAATTTTACATAAAACAAAACATATTGTTACTTGTCAGGAGAAAATTTTGGTTCAATTATTTCTGGCAATAAATGATTTAAGTAAAACTCCGACAATGGTGTTTCCATTTTTTCATCCCAGAATTTATCATCACGATAAATTTTATCCACAGAAATCCCTAATACATGAATTAAATAGTAACAAATTGAAAAATGTAAATCGTATGCAATATTCACAAAAAATGTATAATCATATTTTTACCTTTAGGTGTCCAGATTACAAAATAACATAGCCTTCTTTTTGTTATGTGTAATTGTCCCTGAACTTGGAAATAGTAATTATGATTTTTCTTTAAAATAAGATTTTCTGAATCTATTTCCATATATTTTAATTTATTTTGTTTTTGAGCATCGTTTGGGGAAAAATCTTTTGCTGAGTATGGACACTTAATTTCGATGATGGCATCATTTCCAATTAGGCCATCTGGCGATGCAGCTAAAAACGGTAAATTAAAATCAACAAATAAACCAGCTGGAAGTACTTTACAGTTGTACATGGTTTCAAACTCTGTTTTTGCTATTGATTCAAATTGAATTCCGTAACTATAAAATAAAATAAGTAAAGTACTAAAGTATAATATTAATAATTAATAAAATATATATATTATAATATTACAATTTACCTGGTAGCAGTAGTTCAATGAAAAAAATAGGATTGGTAGAGAATGGAAATTACAGTATTTTTTCTTACGGTAGTCTTACGCAATTTGCAAATTTTACCAAAATTGGAAGCTGTTAATCTGGATAGTCTTTCTTTTTTCCATTCCTCATTACTAGATTGATCAGTAGTTCGGCGTTCTAATTTCAAAATATCAGTCTCATTTAATTTTAAATTATCTAAAAATTCAATTCTTTTGTCTTCAAATTCTTCTTTTGTCATTATTAAAGGTTGACATCCCAGTTCATCTACAGCCCCATAGTCAGAATCCGCGCCAAAGATAATTTTTTTTTTTATTTTTGGTCTAAAAAAAAGTATTAAGGTTTTTAAGTATTTTTAACAAATTCAATACCTAAAGTTTGAAATACATTATACTAAAACATTATGAGTTATACCTAGGATTAATTATACATTTTTTTTTTTCAATATATCTCCTTTGATTTTCTTTTGCTATATACTTTTTTGTGTACATTCCCGGGCTAAAATTGGTTGACTTCTTATAAAATTGTCGTAAATAATTTGGTCCATAATTATAAGCGGAAACTGCTGCATTACACCGTGCATTATAAGACCCTAAAAGTTTTTTATTTTCAATAGGTACACGATGTACCCCATGGCACAATTAGTATTATAATTATATGCGCTAAGGGCAAATAGGATAAATCAATATATTATTTACGTGCCACAAAGTAAACATTATTTAATTACATTTTGTTATTAGGAATGCCAATTTCCTGATTTAAAAAAAAATAAGATACAAAAAAATCTTTAACCTCTTAGTGAGAAGTTCACTCGTTTCCCTCCTACATACTTGGCGACTACACTGTTATATGTTTCAACACAGTTATTATTCACATGGTAGATTAGACTGTTGGAATGATAAGCTACTAAATTTACTGCTGCAATTAAATCATTCCACACACTACATTTTTTCATTTCCGGAACTAAATTTGTTTCTTTGTTCTTATTTCTTGTACAAAAGTACCTATAAAAAGATCATAATGTTTTAAAAAAACAAGTATTTTAAAATAAATATTAAATACAAATCATAAAAACAATAACTAATAAAAAAATTTTTCAAATATATTCTTCTTACCTATCACATTCATTATGAAATCCAAATACATGAAATGGGCCATTTAAAATATCAATTTTCAATAGCTTAACTTTTTCATTATGAGGCAANTCCGACCGATGCAAAGTAGACTTGTTGACCAATTCAAACATCATTACATTTTTTAAATCGCACCACTAGAAGTACTTTAATTTTTGTCAGTCGCTAAGGTCGTTTTGATGAAAAATTAATAGGGTTTGCAGGGGCCTTAATGCTAATATTAATACTATCATATATATATATATTCATAATACACACACACACACACACACATATATGTATATATATATTATATTATATACTACTATGTGCACAATATAGGTACAGTCGATTATCCGAACGCCAATCATCCGGACGTCCAATTAACCGGACGAGAAAAAAAACGGCACGTGCCCTTATTCATACACGTGTCGCATAATCGTTTTTAGATGAGATAAAGAATAGTTATATATAATTCTTAATAATATCCGTCATTCCGACGCGATTACATTAAAAACTCTGAAGCTTTTGATGCATTGGATTTGGCGTTTAAATGGTTTGAGAAGCAAGAAGAATCGAAAACCAGTAATTAAGGCTTATTTTGTTTCAGTTAAATATATAATTAAATTATTTGTTAATGGTTACGAATTTTAAATTATATTACATATAAATGAATAATAAATACATACAAACAATATATTCATACAATTATATAACTTTTGATGCATCATACGCCAATCATCCGGATATTTGCTTATCCGGACCACCCTTGACACTAATTAATCCGGATAATCAGAGTTCTACTATACTTATATTCAATAGTTTAGAAAAATATTACCATCGTGCTCGTTCGTATTAGCCGAAACTGTTGAAACTGATGGCTGAGTTCATCGGACCGCAGACGCTGAAGAATCGTCGACTAAAGCTTCGTCCAACTTATATAAACGAGACGACTTGTATAAGTGAATTGGGCGTATTAGTATACGCGGTGCGTTTTAACGTCGCGGAACACTCACTTCCGGCATATATAATATTCTTTCCGGGTGGATATACGCACCGAGTTGAAAACGTTTTGCCACTGGCGACTCTTTCTCCGTATCTTTGTGTATAATATGTGCGTGGTTCCGAGACACGCTGACGGAAAGGCAGCCAAACGTTGCGCCGAAAAGTTTCCGCAACAGGAAGTTCTCAGACGACGGCTACGTGCTTGAATAGTAAAATAATAATAATATTATGTGAGCACTGTAATAATATTCGTTGTAATAAATGGTGGATACCGCTGGATAGGTTTAATAGGACTACACTACAACAACTATTATACTGTGCATACAAAGTACAAGCCCGGATAGAACGTCGATCTAAGCGCTTGATTGTAACCTGGCCTACACACCGACGTACAGAAATTGCCTATTCATAGCGCCGTCCATGGTTAAAAAATAAAGTGCTTTTACAATTTATCAAAAAAAAAAGGGCACTAAGTTGTATATTTTATTGTTTCCTAAACGGAAAACCTTACTATATAATATAAGTGCATTTTTATATGCTGGTTTTAGACTTAAAACACAGTGCGAATACTCGTATTATGTATGGGCTATTATAATATTAATTTATAATATAACATCACGACAGTCACGCATACCTACATGGATGGTGTTTCAAAGATATGACCCCCAAATATAGGTGTCATATTCATGAGGCCCAAGGACTTGAGCTATAATTCGAATATAGGCCAGAGGATTTAGAACTATGGGTAATGGGTGTACATACATTAAACAAATAATTTATCACATTTCTGAAAAAAATCAATGGGTATAATATATTATAATAATTTATGATATTATAAGAAACTTGGAATCATTGGTTATAACTTATAAATAATAGTACAGATTTATATCATTGATTAACGAGGTGCATATATTATAATATATAATATATAATATATAATATAATATAATATAATATAATATATATAATACCACTTAGAGCGTGTACAAAGGCGCTTTCTGTCGTCTGCAGCTTACATGCTAAAAATTGTCCATCCTCCTCACGACTATACTCCAGTATTGCGCGCACTTAGCCTTACATCTTTAGCAGATAGGCGCGTTAAAGCTAATCTGGCCTTTTTAAAAAAGTTAATCGATGGTTCCTTAAATGCCCCTTCACTGCTTATCCAAGTAAACTTTAAAGTTCCACATCGGGCCACAAGGTCTCGAGTTCCTTTTACTGTACCTCTCCACTTTACCAATTACGGTAAAAACAAACCAATTGACCGCATGATGCGGTTGGCTAACGAGGACCCCTCCTTTCTCAGTTTACCTTAATATTGTGTTATTTTTTGTACATTTATTGTATGTAATTTTACTTGTGTCCTAATTATTTTAGTTTATATTTACTGTGCCTGTTATTCTGCTGTATTTTTTGGCCATCGCCCTTGTATATGTTAGTTATCTTATTTTACTGAATTATTGTTATGTTCTATACTAAATAAGGAATTTTTTATTCCGTGAATTAATTAATAAATAAATAAATAAATAAATAAATATATAACCACTTTGGCTTAAATAGTGGGTATATACTGTTTTAATCAATGCTTCCAATGTATATCATTTATTTGATAGTCTATCAAGTAGTCAAATGGTTTACTCCACTTATGATCTATCGTTACCAGTTCCCAGTCAACAGCTGTTGTTGATATTAATAGTAGTTTCATGTTTTTTTAGTACAACAAAATACTGCAAAAAGAGTTTTATTTAATTTTTAATACTCGATTTGAAGTTAAAAATAATATTTTTTTATTTTTTTTTCACTTTATATATTTATTTGGTAATTAGTAAATAGATGATGGTAACTTGGTGTATAGAATTACGAGAACAATTTATTAAAACAAGAACAATGAGTACCTAGCTATATTTATTCACATTGTTTTCTCCCGACCGCCGACGTCTGGTGTAGTATGTATTGTCTACTGCATGCCGGTACCTATATGGCTGAATTTGGTATATGTTGACAATAGTAACACGAAATATTATATAATTCTTATTTTGTGTTGGTATTCTAGTAACGTTGGTTTGATTCGTGAACATGGATTAGGCGATTTATAGATGTCGTATGAACTCATAATCAGTGATCGTTATATTATAAAGTGATAAAAAAAATATAGAATTAATTAATTATTTTTTGTAGGGTACCAACTATTAAAAATATTATCTAGATAAACCTATTTTTTATGTAAGCTAAACATTAATATAATATTAAAACATAATTTTACATAGATAAGTTGAAAGGTTATTAATTTACGAAAATCGTATCTAGATAATACCCAAAACTATATAGTACACGGTTTTTACAGATAATACCAGTGCTTTGTATATTGTGTACCTTTATTATAATTTTATATACAATTTACTGCGAACTTAATACACGAAAGACCAATTTATGTATATTAGTAATTTTATGCATTTTTAGAACAATTTAAGAGAACAATTCTTAACGTACGTTTCCTCAGCCCCCCACATATCAATTTTCACAAATTTTTTTTCGCCAACAATTAGTACGCCATTCGTTTGTATTTGTTTGACCAAACTCAGAATTTGTTCGACATCGGATACCCCGGAAAATAAGATTTTCCCGTGTGGGAGACTGAGGAACCGTTTCCCCAGCCCCCCGCATAAGAAATAATGGACTTTCAGCGATTTTCAGCGAATTCATGAACTGGAAATTAAAAATAAAAATGCAAATAAATCTATTTAATTGTTTCTTGATATTATGATATACATTATAGGTATAAGGTATTATTGCAAGATATTATAATAAAGTTGTGTATAAGATACAATGGTCCGTCACATAAAAATTAAATCATAATTTATTAAGTACTTACTCACATTCAATATACCATAGTAGATATATGCGTAATAAACAAAATTAATGTACGTACGTTTTGCTAGCCCCCTCCCCCCCCCTCAAACGAAAATCTATAAACAAACTATGCAGATATTTAGCACCTAATTCGCAGCCCCCCGCATAAGAAGTTAGTTATTACTTATTAGTAATTTGTGTTCAAATGACGTACATGTCCCCAGCCCCGCCCAATAAACATTAAACATTTTTTTCATCTTAACATTTAGCAGTCAGTTAGCAAAAATGTGCAAGGTAGTTGTCGAAATTTGCAAACCAATATTTCGTCTGTTATACACATTTCCGAAATTTGCACATGTCGCCAGCCCCACCCCACTTTGAGAAATACTCAGAAATTCAAAATCGTTTCTACGCCAATTTTTAGCATGTAATTACCATACTATGTTTTCTCAGCTATCGATTTGCATATTATATCTTATTTTCTAAAACTATATATTTTATAATTTATATTATAAATCCAAATAGTTTTTAAAATAGGTAATTTTTAATTATACCAGCCTTGTAAATACGACTTTTCAATTAGATTAAATTATTACAATTGTATATATATTTTGAATGTTGTTATGATGATATAAAAATATAAATAACTTTTTATACCTTAGTTTGAAATTTTTAAAATTAATTTTATTACAAAGAAAGCCTCTTTCTTACATGTAAATAAAACATGTTATCATTTACTACAAGATAAAACTTGTTTTGATCTGTTTTCAGTTAACAATTTTTTTAGTTTTTTTAATAGTTTTATCAAATATAGATTTTTTATTTAATACAGATTTTTTAAATTATGACTTTTTTATCAAATAGATTTTAATTAAATTTAAATTTTTATAATGTACGAATTTTGAAATGTGTGAAATGTATGAAATATAGATCTGTTTTAATGATTTTATATTCGATTGTACGTTTTTTATTGAATTTTTATTGAACAGAATTTTTTTAAGATTTCAATTCAATAAAATCGGTTTGATGAAAAATCAAAAAAAAAATAGAAAATAATAAAAAATAGATAAAAACCATTTTTTTGTTAATTTTGTATGATATAAAGATTTTTTGTTGATTTTTTATCAAACAGAATTTTTTGATTATAATTTAGTAAAAATTAAAAAAAAATTTGTCATTAATATTTTTAATAAATACAAATTTTTTATACAAGATTTTAATTCAATTTCCA